CTTGGGCTTAAGCCATTCTCTTGCCTCAGCTGCACAAGTAGCTGGGACTACAGGCACCCACCACAACACCTGGCTGGGTTTTTTTGTTGCAGTTGTTATTGTTGTTTAGCAGGCCTGGGCCAGCTTTGAACCTGCCAGCCATGGTGTATGTGGCCGGCGCCTTAACTGAGGCGAGAGGGTTTTTTTTCACTCCTCCTCTTACATGTTATGTGCTACTTTTAAACCCTCCCTGTTGGCTGTCTCTGTGCCCTGTGGAAGCATTCATCATAAAGAGCAGACAGATCTGTGGGTCCTGGGGCCACACTGCTGATAGTCACTCAGCCTCTGCAGCCTGAGCACCTAGGCCTTGGAGAGTCCAGCCAGCTCTCCCAGCCTCTGCGTGACTCTGGGCAAGTCAAGGACCTTCTCCACTTCCTCACTTATCATGAGGGAGCAATGGTGTTGGGACGTTGGTGTGTGCAAAGTGCTGGCCCTGGGGGTACCAGGAGAGGAAAAGCCGACTTTGTCCGAGGAGGGGGCCTCTCTGGGAGAACAGGAGTTTGAGTTAACTCAATAGGGGATGAGTCTGTGAAGGTGACCAGGTCTCTGACTGCCCTCACCTGGAGATTGACCTCCATGGTGGAGACCACCTTCTGGCTCCTGAAGAAGCACAAACATGGCTTCCAGGCTGAAGCTCTGCCGGGTGCTGGGTCTCCTGGGACCATGGCCAACTGGGTCTGTGTCTCCCTAACTCACTGTCCCAGGCAGAGGCATCCAGGACAAGTGTGCGTCTGTGGCTTGGGCTGGTGGCAGGCAGGGGAGGCCCTATACTGGTCAGACCCAGCCATTGCCACTCCCCAGAGGGCCCTCTCTGCCTCATGTCCCTGTTGTCAGCATGACACCCGTCTCCTGAGGCCACCTCCAAGGCTCTGTGCCCTGGCCCAATGGAGCTGTTCCCCCAGCCCCTGTGGAGAGCCAGACAGGGGTCATTCCTGCTGGTGACTAAGGGAGGCTGAGGGCTGTGCGTCTCTTAAGGGATGTGGCTGGGGCTGGGCCTGTATGGCCCCAAAGCCTGTGTGTGCTGCCCCCTTTCCATCGTGGCTTCTGGAAACCTCAGCATCTGACTGCAGGGTCTCAGGCCTCCCACTGGCCTTGCTTGTCATCACCCCTCCTCGCACCTGCAGTTCGACTTTCCTGGCTCCTGTCTTCTCTAGTATTGAAAACCCAGAGTGCCTTGAGGCCTGCCCCACTGTTCTGCCCTCTCTGCTGGTCCTGCTATCTCAGGAAGCCCCTGGGAGCTGTTCTCCCTGCACAGGGAGCTCCCCACCCAGCACACTGCTCCCTTTAGCCCTTTCTCCCTACACCCCACATGCTGCTTCTCCGCTGGCCCAGTGTCCTTAGAGTCCTGGCCCTGACCCCCATGCTTCTGCACCCTGCTGCCACCTTCCCTTCCCTTCGCAGAAGTCTGTCCCCATAAAGGCTCGAATGGAGCCCTCTGTCCCTGGTGTGATGCAGTGGGAGCCCTCTTGGGGACCACCTGATCTTCTGGCCGCCTACCCTACCTGGCCTGTTTCCTGTGCTCATTGGTCGCTTGTCTGAGGTGGTCTCAGGGCAGGTCTGAGGTGCTGGCCTCGCTGCCCTTGCATGTCGGGCCGCGTGTGTCAGTCAGCCATATACCCACTGCAGCCCCTGGGTCAGGGGACCCCATCTTCTTAGGCTAAGCATGGTGTCTGGAAGAGGACAGATGCTGACAGATGTGGGGGGAATGTCCTTGTTGGCACAAGGTCCCTGAAGGGGCAGAGAGGGTGCCAGCAGCTTGCTGCTGCCCAGCATGGATTTGTGGCAGAGAGGCCATAGCTGCCACACTTGATGCCAGCCTGTTGGGAGGTCAGCTGCCTGGTGGCTGCTGTCAGAGGAGCAGCATGGTTTGTCCATGTGGGAGGAGAGGGTCGGGGACCGTGTGCCCCAGGCCCTGACCTTGTCCCTGTCCTTCTCTATGCAGACTGAGGGCACCCGGCTGCAGAAGGATCTCCGGACCTACCTGGCCTCTGTCAAAGGTAAGGGGCAGCAGGGCAGACCTGGCCCGTGTGGAGCTGGTGGGAGTGGCGCTGTGGGTCAGGTCTGTGGGGCAGGAGGGGGACTGTCAGGGAGGCCACAGACCTCCTTTGTGCCCACAGCTATGCATGAGGCATCCAAGAAGCTGAACGAGTGTCTGCAGGAGGTATATGAGCCCGACTGGCCCGGCAGGGATGAGGCAAACAAAATTGCAGAGGTGAGCGTGAGGCAGGTGGTCCTGGCCCCTCCCAGTGGGCCCCCTTTGGCCTCAGCTCCTGTCCCATCCTGCCTCACTCTATGGGACAAGCCACTGGCACTCACATGCTGTGTGCCCTTGGGCAAGTTGCCTTCCCTCTCTGAGGGTCTTCTGACACCCACGCACTGAGATGGGTCAGCTTACAGATGGTGGCTATCCCTAACCTGTGTGTCCTGGCTCCCAAAGCCTTCCTGGCTCACCACAGTCTACTCATGAGGGGCCATAGGGTGGGAATTGTTGCCCCATTTTACAGATGGGAAACTGATGCTATGAGAAGCCAAAAAGTGATGGGACTCAGGCTGACCTGCAGGTCCCTGGGGGGTAAGCGCTGGGAACCAGTGTGGCCCAGCTCCCCTGGTGGCACACTTCCTCGCCCTTGCCTGTTTCAGAACAGTGACCTGCTGTGGATGGATTACCACCAAAAGTTGGTGGACCAGGCACTGCTGACCATGGACACGTACCTGGGCCAGTTCCCTGACATCAAGGTGAGAGACCTCTGTGGTGCTGCCTTTCTCTAGCCCGGCAGCCTGTGGAGGGGACCGGGGCACAGCACAGGCTGGCTCAGGCTTGGAGGTGACTGTCCTGGAATCAGGCAGCCCCTGGCCTGCCATCTCCTCCAGGATTGCTCTCCCTGCAGCTTGACTGCTGACCCCTGATGCCCCAGGCCTGTCTGTGTGCATATATGTGTGTGGTACGTGTGGCCATGTCACTGGGGAGTGAGCAGATGACTGTGTGAGGTGTGTAAGGCTGGATAAGGCCCAGGCATTGTATCTGCAGGTCCCCTCTGTTTATGCCATGTATCTGTGGAAGGGTGTGTGTACATAGTCATACATGTCATCTGTTATCTGGGTCAGTATGTCGGGTGTATTTGTGTGACTGTGTGTTCACAAACTTCGCTGTCCCTGCTGGGCCTGGGTACATTTGCCATGGTCTCCACTGAGGTGAATGGCCCTGGGTGATGTGTCCCTGGAAGCCACAGATGTCTGCAGCCTAGGAGGGTCACCGTCTTATTGGACCTGGGGTGAGTGGGATGGGAGGGGTCATCCTCATGCCAAGCCCAGGGGCCACCCAGTGCAGATGCCTCAAACTCCCTACGGGTGATGGTGGTGGCACCAGAGTAGAGAGGCTGGGACTTGGGAGGAATCTATACAGAGCTCAGGGTCAGGCCAAGGAAAGAGACTTGAATGACACAGTCTTGGCTGGTGGGAACTTACAAGTGGGTTTATGTTGCAAGGAAACAGTTTGCTAGTGGGGATGGCTGCCCTGAGGCATGAGTTCCTTGCCACCAGAAGGGTAAAGAGGGCTCAGTCACACCCTAGATGGACTTGTAAACACTGCCTGAGCCCCTTGTGTCCCTGCAGAGCTGGCCCATAACCAGCTTCTCTGGGCCTGCCTAGTTCATCATCTCAGCATGGGCACCAGGTGCTGTTCAGCCCCTCCTCTTTCTGTCCCCCAGTCACGCATTGCCAAGCGGGGGCGCAAGCTGGTGGACTATGACAGTGCCCGGCACCACTTCGAGTCCCTTCAAACTGCCAAAAAAAAGGATGAAGCCAAAATTGCAAAGGTAAGGACTGCAGGATGGCTGGGAAGAGTCTGTGGGGACCTGAGGAAGGTCGGGGTGTCCAAGCCTGGGTGGAGGCTTCCTCTGTCTAGACCAAGGTCGCTGAGTGGGATTGGGGGTGATGCCGGGCCCAGGCTGGTAAGTGAAAGGCCCTGTGAGCAACCGGGTGGGGGTTCACTTCTGGGCCCTCCCTGCCCGGCCCCTCTGCCCCTTGGCCTCCACCTGAGGCCACTTTGCAGAAGGAGAGTAGGCCCGGCTTGGGTTTCATTGGAATGGCGCCGCCCTGCCTGGCCTGGTTCTAGTGGAATTCTGTCATAGGATCCGATGTGACCCTGCCTCGGCCAGAGAAAGCCAGTGGGCCCAGGGTAGTGAGGGCCTGAGGGCAGGACCCTGTTCCCTGGGTGGATCTTGCTTGCTGAGCCCTCTGCCCTGCTAACAACTCTTACCCTTCCTCTGCAGTTGGAGTCCCCTGCTTGCCTCAGGCTCCCCTTAATTCTTTCGGCCTCAGGGGCCTTCACCTGTTGCAGGGCGGCCCCCTGGAGGGTGGCTGGCTTGCTGTCACTGTGTTTGGGGCATGTGGACTTGGTGTTTAATATCTGTGTCTCTGTTTTTCTCTCCCATCCCTCCCGTCTCTCCACTCTCCTTCCCTGGTCTCCCTCCCCACCCCAGCCTGTCTCGCTGCTTGAGAAAGCCGCCCCCCAGTGGTGCCAAGGCAAACTGCAGGCTCATCTCGTAGCCCAAACTAACCTGCTCCGAAATCAGGTGACACTGGCTTCTAACCTTGCACGTGCTGGTGCCTTCTAGTCTGTCGTCTTGTCCTCTTGCCCTGGGCCTGATCACAAGCTGCAGTGGGCAAAGGCCTCCGCCGCCGGGAGAGTCCTGTTTCAGGGGAGACCTGAAGTCAAGGCGTGGGCAGAGAGCAGCTGAGGGGCTCCAGGAGAACTGGCAGGGGGCCCAGGTCTGCCCCCTTTGGTTGTTCACTCAGACTCCTCTAGGAATCCAGAAATGCCTTTGAGCTGTGTGTCCTCTGTGAGGGCTCCTGTGGCGGGAGGTGTCATTATGGCTCCTGCCCCCTGGCATGTGTTGTCCTTCAAGTCTAAACACTCTGAGGTTGTTTTGAATTTACTGAGGAGACAAACCTGCCCAGGAGGCACAGCCTCTTCCCAGGGTCCCAGAGCTGGTTAAGGGGAGAGTTGAGGGCTCTCTTGACTCAAGCCTTTGGGTCTTTATCCTGCCCCTTGACCCAGGCTTTAGGTGGGTGTCCCCTGCCACAGCTGGCCTGGGACCTGTGGGCCCTCTGATGACTCAGGAGGGGACTCCAGGAGGGGACTCCAGGAGGGGACTCCAGGAGGGCTCTCTAGTCTGGCTGGGCTGTTGAGGCCTACAGTGTTGGCCCTTTGGGGGTTTCATGGAGGGCAAATGCTCAGCACCACAATGGTCTTGGGGGGCTTCCTGGAGGACGCTCCTTGGATGCAACTCCTGTCCCACTACATGGCACTACATGGGATTTACTCTTCTCTGCCCCGTCCTTGGAATGGGCCACAGTGTGGCCAGGGACCCTGGATGAGGTCCTTGTGAGACATGGGCCACATGATTTTCTTTCAAGTGAAACTGAGGCACGTTTCAGGTCAGCATACACACAGCCTGGATGAAACTCTGGTGCCCTTTTCATACCCATAGTGGGGGGTATGGTGGGGGCAGGCAATCAACAGAGGACTGGGAGGTTGGGTTTCTCTCTGGGCAGCTGCCCCATTTTTTGTAGGCTGCCTCTTGATTTCCTTATCTTCAACCCACACATACTGAGCCCTGCCGTGGGACAGCTCTGCCCAATTTCTTACCTGACTTGCTGCCTGATTTCTTTTAGGCTGAGGCTGTGGCTGATTTTGGAGGCACTGGGTGTTGGTAGCCTCATCCTGGCATCAAGGGGACCCCGGCTCTCCAGGAACTAGGGGAGATGGTTAGGGTGGTTCTGTAGGCTGGGAGGAAGAGTAAGGGGCTGGGGCGGGTGTGCCCTTGCCTGCAAGTTCAGGACTTAGCTGGAAGGGGGAATGGGGCTAGTGACCCAGAGTCAGAATTTTTGCATAATTTCTCCTAAAACAACTGGAAGATTTTCTTGAGTGGGAGAAACCTTCCATGGGGCCTGGCATGAGGCCTGCCCACTGCTTTTGGCTCCTGGGGTGGGTGTGGTTGGGGATCCTGTTGGGAGGGCCCTATTTCACCCTGGGGGAGCAGCAGGAGAGAGAAAGGCGTGTGATTGAATCTGTGGGTGCTGGACTGCAGATGTTTCGCCTTTCGGCCAAATTGGCCTTCCCATTTGGATCACATTTTTATTTGAATACATCCTCTTTGTCCCCACCCAGCCGCATGCCTGGCTGAAAGCTGGAGAGTCTTTGGTGGTACCCGTGGATGGCCAGCTGGCTGTGAGCTGGGACACTTGTGGCCCCAGGGCTGCCCTGCTGGTAGACCTGGCTTTGGGGAGATAATGTATTCCCTCGAGGCTGCACTTAGGGGAGCTGACCAGCACCATGTGTCCCTTGAACTAGTTCCAAAGTGCTCTCTGTACTTGTCACAGCCCCCAGAAATCTGCCTGCAGGACCCTGGAACCATCCAGATCTGCTCTCCCTGAGTGAGAGCTGTAGTGGAGCCGTAGGGCTGTGGGGCACTCCTATGTTGGACAGCTCTCCCATTACCCACCGCCACTCCCAAGTGCTTCTGAAAGAGCCAGAATATGAAGGATGTGACCCAGAGGGAATAAAAGATACAGGCCCTGACTTCCAGGAACACTAAAAAGGAACCACCCCTTGTTCTGTGCAGCATTGCTGGGCCATGTGAGCACAGCTTGGCACAGATACGCTCCCTAGACAAGCTGCTGAGCCATCATCACTGCCGGCCTCATGGTCGTGCATCTGAGGAGTGAGGTTCAGTGTGGGGCAGTGGCTCACAGAGAGGTGGTCCCAGCGGGTAGAGGAGCAGGGCGGAGGGCAGGTTTTTGGGGAATATGGGACTTGAGGTTGACTCTTGGCAGTGGAGGACAGGAGGTGTGCAGACAGAGTGCTGGGCTTCCTCGGTGACTTCTGGGAGCACTGGTTTTGTGAGTTTCACAAACCATCATTGCCAGCCCCTGGCCAGGCAACAGGAGGTCCAGAGGAGTAAGGCAGGGATGGCCCCATCATGGCCTTGAGAGGAAGAAGGATTTATATTCTCAACCTGGCCCTGGTGTGGGTGTGCCAAGACCCCTGAGATGGCTCCATTTCAAGAGAGGCGTGTGTGCTTAGATAGACATTTCTTTTGGTCTTATTCCACCTTTAAATTTTTATTAGATTCTAAAAAGTCAGGCAAGGATGTCTCACCCACTCTAGCTAGTAGTATCTGGAGGTAACTGCAGTCAGAAGCAGTGGTGGCCCCTTCTCTAGTCCTAGGGAGGAAGGGGGGCACAGCGAAGCTAGGGGCTGACTTGGGCCAGGCCTGGTGCCTGAAGCCGGGCAGGACAGCTGGCTGGGATTGGGGAAATCGTGTGCTTTGAGGCTAAGTGACCTTCTGGCCAGCGGGCTGCCTTTGCCAGAGGCCCCAACCCCAGCCTGAGAACGTGAGGCTCCTGGCGGGAAGTTTTCCCTTGGGCGGGGCCGGCCGCGTTCCCGGGCTGTGACTCAGACCCAGAACCGAGCCCCCTGAGTCACTCTCCCAAGCAGCGCCCAGCAGCAATGAGTAGCAGTGTCCCTTCCTCCAGCCAGTTCTGTGACTCAGCCGCGCCTGCCTCCACCTCCCGCTACTTCGGCCGTGCGACGGGGCCGTAGCGCCACCGCCTGGCGGGTGTGAGCAGCTGCGGGCACGCCGACCCAGGGAAGGCGTGGGCAGGGCCCTTGTACACCCTGCGGTTTGTAGAGTAGTCAGAGCGTCTGCCTCTGGCCTCCGTCTGCTGGGTGCAGGTCAGGGACGAGTCTTGGTGGGAAAGATTGCCGCAGGGAGGGGACCTGAAGGCTTGTGAAGGCTCAGCAGGAGGCGGCCCTAGGAAAGGGGTGGGAACACGGTGGGGGGGGGGCAGGTGGAAGGGAAAGGGGGGGCAGACAGCAGCAGTCCTTAGCCTGGGGGGTCCACGTGGGAGTGCTCAGAGCCTCTCAGGCTGGGCCCCAGCTCTTTAGGCCCATCTGGCTCCTTTCGGTGCCCTGCTTCCCGCTGGACTCCCTCCCAGCCCACCTGGTTCCCCTGGTGCAGTGGGTTCTCTGCCCTTCCTTTCCCAGAACCCCTCAGGAGGTGCTGCAGTGGGAGGTGTGGGGTGCTGGGCACATCCAGCGAAGTCTCTGTCTTGCCCAGGGCTGTGGGAGGTAGTGGGCAGTCCTTGGGTCCTTGGGGGTGGACCTGGGCTGGGCTGCTGGCTGGTTCAGCTGCCCAGCAGAGGAGAATGACCCATCCTGCCCCCAGGCTGAGGAGGAGCTCATCAAAGCCCAGAAGGTGTTTGAGGAGATGAATGTGGATCTTCAGGAAGAGTTGCCCTCCCTGTGGAACAGGTGAGGGTCAGGAGATGCCCGAGGGCCTGCCCGGGGCGCCCAGCCTGGGTTTCTCCCTGGGCACTGGTGCCTCTCAGGGTTTATGTCTATAACATGGGCGTGTGTTTCAGAGGGGCCTGCCTTGCCCTACCTTGCCTGACAGCCTGGCCCTCGTTTTCTCTCTCCTATAGCCGTGTGGGTTTCTATGTCAATACGTTTCAGAGCATTGCAGGCCTGGAGGAGAACTTCCACAAGGAGATGAGTAAGGTAGGCCCTGATGACTCCTCTGGGGGCCTCGAGGCCTCTGGGCAAGGGTCAGAGCTGGTGATGCGAAAGAGGTGGCTCAAGCTCCCCCTTCCCTGCGGGGGCTCAGCACATGCTGGTGAGGAGCTATTAACTCCTGCCCGCAAAGAGCCCCCTTCACAGATGCCCTGGCCCTGTGGGAGTTGCTGGGCACACTGGGGAAGATAAGAGTGGGTCTGTGGGTCCAGCCCTGGTGCCCCCTCTCTGCTCCCAGTCCTGCTCTTGGCCACACAGATGGCTAGGGAATGCAGACCAGCCCCTCTCCAGTCGTAAAGGAGTTCTCAAGCAACCTTAGCTCAGAGAGATCAGTGTTAGAAAATGGTGGCAGTTTTCCAATTTGTAGGAAATAATAAATTACTAAAAATTTTCTTAATTTTTAATTTTTCTCCCATGTTTCTGAAGGCATCGAAACAGGCCATCTTTGTCTGCCAGAATTTGGTATAGAGGGTCTGATCAGCCTACATTCCCGTGTTGTGTTGTTTTCATCTTAACTGGCAGTTAAAACGCAAAGTTGTTGAACCTTGCAGTTTGAGCAGCCCAGTGTTGGAAGCTCCCCTCAAGGCTGTTGGAGAAACCCAGTGTGAGCAGCTCACCCCCTCTGCTCAGTGGGTGGGTCCAGAGGAATGAAATGATGATGGTAGATTCCAGGGCCAGGGTTGAAGGAGGAAAACCATGTTGGGGACTCTTCTGATTCACATGCCTAAGTGTGGGTTCCTGCTTTATAGGCCTTCTCTTTCCTTCCTACTTTCCTTCCTTCCTTTCAGAGATTTGAGACAACTTATGAAAAGTTTACAGAATGGAGAGAGG